TGCTAGAGGGTGAAAACATCATTTTGCAAAATTAGTGCACTAGTTCTAAAACTTCAGATGCTTTTCAGCTTGTTGATATAATAGGCTCTGACTCCCTGCTTCTGTTTTCAGGCTGAGAGGAAACATTTAATTTTTATTATTCATAATTTTTAAATTGCTACGATATTTAAAATAGACTGTTTAATTAAAAAGCAATTGCTCCTTTGTCTCCCTATTGAATTTTCTTTCTACAAGTGATTCCAATGAATAGCAATATCCATAGACAATCTTGAGCTGGTGTAGTGTGGTAGAAAGAGTGCTACATCAAGGGTCAGAAAAATATCATTCATCATTCATTTATTTACTAGCCAGGTGACCTTGGTAACCTTCTTAAAATATCAGAACCAGCTCTCTCATTTGTAAAATGGAAATAATAATTCTCACCCTATCTACTTCACAGGGTTATTATAAGGGGTCACATGAAATAAAATAACCCTGAAACACATTGAATACTATAAAACTCACCCTATGTAAGATAATAATGTTATTATGTTCAATCTATATGAATATCCCTCTTCATGTGTTTTTATTTTTATTTATTTATTTATTTATTTATTTATTTATTTATTTATTTATTTTTAAATATGTCTTTATTGATTTCAGAGAGAGGAGGGAAGAGAGAGAGAGAGAAACATCAATGATGAGTCGATGCTGATTGGCTGCCTCCAGCACTTCCCTTACTGGGGATCGAGCCTGCAGGCGACCGGGAATCAAACTGGGATCTCCTGGATCATTGGTCTATGCTCAACCACTGAGCCACGCCAGCCAGTCTTGATGTGCTTTTAAAGTATAGTCACATGTTTGCTTTAGAGTTGTTTCAAACTTCCTCAGGATATTTTACTTTATTTTTTATTAACTTTTTTACTGTATTTTACAGATATTGATCTGTGACAGATTGGAAATAAAATGGGTCCACCCCAGGCAGTGTGAGAACATTGCTCTAAAATCTCCAGTGCCGTTAACCACCTCCTGAATCGTTAACCTAGTTTTGTCAAGCATGTCTGTTACCAGATTGTTTTGAAATCATCTATTAACTACCTTTCTTAGAACCATGTATATGTGATAACCATACACATATCCAAAAAACACTGCCCAGGCATAACCTTTGATCTAGATATGGGCAACAATTTTGTATCCATTTGCTTAGCTACCTTGAAATACCTGAAGTTGTTTTAAAGTGTTAAAGAGCAAATGAGTGCTAATAAATCTTATTTTGGCAGTTTACATACACAAAAAGAAAATCCAAGAAAAGTGGTCATTCGGGGGAAAAAAATTTCATATTCTTTAGTGAAGTGACTTGTCTCTAGTCCCATTAACAACGGAGAGGGTGCTTTCTAACATTCTCACCATCTTTTGACAAAACTAAGTAATAAGTCAAGAAATTCCAATACAGGTGAAGATATGTAGAAAAAGACCAAAATGGGGGAATTACTAATGGTGTCAATTAAACATCATAGATGTATGAATTGTAGTAATATACTTTTATAAACTAGTATATGCTGCAGAGTGTTCATTAAGACACACTGTATGAAATGCTGGCTAAAGCTAGGAATTGTTTTGATTTTACCCCATACCCTTAGCTCTGTAACTAAAGCTAATTGATGAATGAGCAGAAGTGACTAAAACAAGGACTTCAGAGATATTTATTTTTGTCTGTACTAATATTCCTTTGAACCACAAAATGCTGTCTACTAGTCACTGGATTTTAAGAGCAAAGGCAGTGCCATGAATTGGTAAGAACATTGGGCCAGGTATAAAAGGACCTGGGTTCTATGGCAAATGTGTTACTAATTAGCTAGGCAACCTTGAGCTAGTCATACCCACTCCTCTCGCTTCTGTGTTGTTCTATCTGTAATGACCAGTTTGGATAAAATGCCCTCTTAGGTCCATTCTGGAGCTAAATGATCATAAAAATTTAAGTTAAAAAATATTTTTAAAAGTTCTTTAAGATTGCAATGATCGTGTGAGAATTTTTTCTGAAAAGTTAAGAGGAAAGTGCTGTTTGGTTCATAGTGCCAAAGAATCTTTTGTGTCAGCATCCATTTACATACATCTGATGCATAAATAAAATTGAAAGTAAAAATATGAGTGTATGTATTAAAGTTCATTCTATGCAGAAATTAAAGTCTATTCTCAAGTCAACAAATATATTCAAGACTAATACTATATTTCAAAGGATTGAATTTCTTAATAAATAACACTGTCCAACATCATATTCTTTCTGTGAATACAACTTAAGGAATGTCACTGCCCAACGCTTTATTGTCTCTCTAAACACAAATTAATGAGTTGGCCTTGCTGTTTGAATTTGGATTCAGAACACAGCTTACTGGGCAATCCCTTATGTACTGAGCTCTGCGTGTTTATTGCATGCCATTTGGAGAAGCTGCAGTGCATTCTACACTTGGAGAATTTAGAAATGGATTTTAATCAGGAAAAATTGGTGCACTGCTGCCTACAGAAAATGAAAAGATCTGTACAGTACAGTATAGCTCTGGTTGGTTGCTTATGATTATTTAGCTTGATCAAGGACACAGGAGTGCAAATGTTGGGCAAATTCCAGTCCATTCATGGGATTGCCACGTGTTGTAGCTCTGGGTTAACCCAGGAACTCCCAAGCTGTGGGACATGTGTCTCTCTCCCATGGAACTTGAGTTGATGTACATGTGTAGGACCCAGAAATCACATCATAAGAAAGTTGTTCTTTTCTTACTTCTTTCTCAAATCTTATTTTTCTCAGGAAAACGACTCTGCTGCTCATGTGCTTCTCACACCTCTTTTAATCACAAATCTCGTTCGTAACTAAGAGAACTTCAACCACCAGGGTCAAAGCCTTCTGCAAACAAACATCACCGACATGATTTAGTAACACTCATTTGTTCCCTATTTTTACAGTCACCTATTTATGCCAAGTGATACTGGCTTTTTAGTTATGATACCAACATAAAGTTATGTTTCGAAATAAATTTATTAATGCCCAATGCTATGTTGAGTTTAAAAAGAACTTTTATGTAAATAACATAATAGTACATGGCTGGCAAAATTTTCTAAAATGACATGCAAATGAATGAAGCTTGGGAAACATCGGGCTAGTGGAAAGTACACGGAGTAGCAGATAGGAAACTTGGTCACTAAATCTAATTATAATTCTATCACTAATTATTTGATTGTCCTTGGACACGATGATGAATCTTTCATGAGTCTATTTCCTCATTACCCCATGAATATGATGATATTTGCTTAGCTACCTTTGGAGCAACAGTGGGAAGATTAAAATGAGATGATGGGTAGTGAAATTTGAAAGCTGTAGGTGCATAAGGTTTGTTATTATGTATCTGAATCACCACTTCTTTTTTCACCATCCCAGAAAACAACAACAACAACAAAACCATGATCATTTAGGAAAGGATAATATTATCTTTGTTTTCTTTCCATGATCATACCACTTATTAGTGATGTGTGTGTGTGTGTGTGTGTGTGTGGAGAGGGGGGGCTACAGTTGTACATTGTCTACATTTACACTATGCTAAATACTAAAACTGTGTTATCTTTTTTTGATTGATCATATGTATATTTTTACTGTTTTCCGTGGTGATAAAAAACGTTTGAAAACTAAACTATGTTTTAAAAAATGAACCTAATAATAGATCTTATGCATCTTAAAGCTTAATAAAAATATTATGGCTTATCTGGATATTTAGAGCTATTTTAAAAATAATGAAGTTATCTGGACCTGAAATAATATTTGGAATCTTGCTTATTGTGGTTATTCATTGTGCTTAAAACGTCAACTTTTCTACAATACATGATACCATGTCTTTATAAAAGGTATTTTACTGTTATATATGCCATTTCCTGCAGACTTCAGGGTTTCTTTTTTCCAATTTTATCTCACTTATTCTTGAAGTTAAGGTTGTTGTTTTGGATAAAATATAATGGTTCAGTGAAACATCTAATATATTTTTATATTAATAATTAATTATGTCAGGTTAATGGCTGTGTTTTCTTTTGATATATTAATTTACGTGAAATAGAGAACATTCATGCACATAGAAATAATGCTACAGTTGTCGTTTGGTTTCCCATTCCATTAAGCAAGCTTATTTAAGCACTATTGCTGCTGGATTAAAATATGATAGGGATCACAATTCATTTGCATATACATATTCATGGACTGTCTTGGGCAGCAGTTTTCAAACTTGAGCAGTCATCAGAATCACCTGGAAGGCTTTTCAAAACACAGCTTACTTGGCCCACCCTCAGGTTTCTGATTCAGTAGTTCTGGGTGGGGCCTGGGAATTTGCATTTCTGGCAAGTTCTGCAGTGATGCTGAGGCTGAGGCTAATGATGCTGCTCTAGGACCATATATTTTTTCCCATTGGTCTGGTGCAAGGCAGGATAGCAGAAGAGTGAAGCTCAGGAACTCTGGCGATATGCCCAGATTTCAGCCCTGGCTTTGACACTTACAAGCTGTGTAACTTGGACAAGGTAGGGATCAATTTTGTCATGTGTAAAATAGTAACAAGCATATCTATTGAGAATACTGAATGAAGTAATGCATATGAAGTGTTTAAGGCAATGCCGAGAGTGTTATGAGCACTCTGTAAATGTGACATTAGTAGGTAGAGGTGATGGTAATTAGAGTGGTAACGGTAGAAGTAGTAGTTGGTGGTAATAAAGAATATACATATTTACCTTAGTTCAATTGCAATAAAAGTTCATTAGTTTTTTCTAAGGAAGGCTGGACAGAAAGGTTGGTTTTCATTGATGATATTGTTTCTATAAGAAACATTCTGGCAAGAAGGAAATTCAGTGAAAAGAAGCAGTGTCCTTAGTGAAAGAAATTTCAAGACCATGCTGAAGTGGAGTCTAGATTACAGTTTAATCAAAAGCTTATTCATTTATGCAGTAGGTATCTCAATATTTAGAACTTACTACATTTGTTTCTTTCCTTTCCTTAGCAACAAGAGCAAGACCCAACAAATCTATACATCTCAAATCTTCCCATCTCTATGGATGAGCAGGAACTTGAGAATATGCTGAAACCCTTTGGACATGTCATTTCCACAAGAATACTAAGAGATGCTAACGGCGTCAGCAGAGGCGTTGGCTTTGCCAGGTAAATCCCTTGCTTTGTATATTGCCTATCTTTCCTCATTGTTTCCTTTTAATTCCATTTCTTTCTCGTATTGGGTCCCAAAGCAATAGAATTTTTTAGAAGTAGTTTATCAAACTTATTCTATGTGTCTTTGCTTCAAGCCAAAGAATCCCAATGTAATTGTAAGTACATTGTGCTTTCTAAAATATGTAGATCGAACGTTTACATGTCTGGAGTCATGATGATATGCATAGTGAGTTCCCAGTCTTCTCTATGCCTGTAGATCAACAAAATCAGATGCTGCCAATTTCTGCTAGGAATAATAAATGCCCAGTCCCCCAAAACTAAAGAGCCCATGTGGTGAACAAAGCATCCAGATGGTTTTGCATTGATTTCCAAAGAATGAGGTGATAGAACTTCTCAGTCAGCAGAAGAGAGAAGAAAGATACAGAGAAACAGGAGTTGTTGGGAATTCCCAAGGAACACAAAACTGTAAGAGGAGGTCAAGGGGGCATTTGCATTTAAGAGGCCCTGGCTGTGTGTTTTTGATGTTTTACACAACAGGAAAAAAAAAAAAAAAAAAAAGCAGATTGCACTTTTTTCATTGTTGGAAAGGAAAGACTAGCTCTTACTTTAACTTTAAGGCAATGTTTATAAAAGAGGGTCTCAGCCAGGAACAGAGTTAAAATGGTTCTACCTGCTGTGCCTTCATGAAAAACAAAGCTAAAGAAACTACGGGGAAAAAGAAATTGCTCAACCAAACAAGAAAAGTAAAAGCTGTGTCTCAATGGCTTGGTGTGTGTATATGTCTCTAGATGACTTCACATGGATGAATAGGTGGATGCTAGTGTCATCTGGAAGCCAGTCCAGTGTAGACAGGTGTCTTCACCTATGATGAACCCTGCCATCACCTGGGAAACCATCCAAATCAACTACGGTTAGCCCACTTTGAAAAATAGCAAATTGAAGTTTTAATTTGCGGCTCTCTGATGATTAGTGATGTTTCAGCATTTTTTCATATGTCCCTTGGCCATCTGTATGTCCTCTTTGGAGAAATGTCTATTCAAGTCCTTTGCCCATTTTTTAATTGGATGGTGTCTGTTCCTGGAGTTAAGTTATATGAGTTCTTTATATATTTTGGAAATTAACCCCTTATCAGATATATGTTTGGCAAATATGTTCTCCCATACAATGAGTTCCCTTTTCATTTTGCTTATGGTTTCTTTTGCTGTGCAGAAGCTTTTTAGTTTGATGTAGTCCCATTTGTTTATTTATTTTTTTCTTTGTTTCTCTTGTCCTAGGAGATGTATCAGTGAAAATACTGCTACATGAGGTGTCTGAGATTTTACTTTCTATGTTTTCTTATAAGATTTTTATGATTTTGCAACTTACCTTTAAGTCTTTTACCCTTTTTGAGTTTATTCTTGTGTATGTTGTAAGTTGATGGTCTAATTTCATTTTTTGCATGTTCCTGGCCAATTTTCCCAGCACCACTTATTGAAGAGATTGCCTTTACTCCATTGTATGCTCTTGCCTCTTTTGTCAAATATAAATTGACCATAATGCTGTGGGTTGATTTCTGGGTTCTCTGTTCTGTTCCATTGATCTCTATGCCTGTTCTTGTGCCAGTAACAGGCTGTTTTGATTACAATGGCTTTGTAATATAGTTTGATATCTGGTATTGTGATCCTTCCAACTTTGTTCTTCTTTCTTAAGATTGCTAAGGCTATTCAGTCTTTTTTTGTTCTACATAAACTTTTAGAATATTTATTCTAGATCTGTGAAATATGCTATTAGTATTTTAATAGGGATTGCATTGCATCTGTAGATTGCTTTGGGTAGTATGGACAAATATCACATGATCTCACGTACATATGGAATCTAATGAACACAATAAACTGATGAACAAAATAGGTCCAGAGGCATGGATGCATGGAATAGACTAACAGATCTCAGAGAGGTAGGGGTATGGGGACAGGAAGAGATTAACCAAAGAACATATATGCATATATGCATAGCCAAAGGATGCAGAAAATAGTGTGGTGAAGGCCTAGGGTGGGGCAGGGGCTGGATGGGAGCATGGCAAAAGAGAGGAAAATGGGGGACATCTGTAATACTATCAACAATAAACTTTAAAAAAAGGAGAAAGATAGCAAATTGTAATGTAAATGTTAGCTGATTTCTAACTTGACTTCCGAGAGGTCATGGACCATGTCTTTAAATTCTTTATAGCCCCCACAATGTTCTACACATAGTAGACCAGTAGATATGTACAAGATACATATTTGATGATTTTGAAGAGGAATGGGTGAAATGAAGAAAGTCTCCCTGACTTGAATGTATGCATGAAGCATTTAAGTTTTCAGACCACTGTTAACTGTCTATTTTCATGGTCAAGGCAGAGCTAATCACACCACCTGGGTGTCTGAAATTGGCTAATGTAGTCATTCTTGGATAGAGAACAACCTGTAGTTGGAAGTCTGACTGGTGTGGGAATTCACTGTAATCACGGTTATCCTTCACACAGCATGCACATTCCTTTGGTTCTTCCCCAACCTCTCACACCCCAAAAAACTCTCTTTAACAAATTAGTTTCTCCTTCATTTTGTACTCCTGCTGAGAAATGAACATCTTTCAAATCAACAGAACACATTTTCTAATGAAATCTACGGTGATTTTTTTTAACAAAAGATTTTTTGTATCGAGTATATTAGTTTATTAGGGCTGTCATAAAAAATACAACAGACTGGGTGACTTAGACAGCAGAAATGTATTTTCTCACTATTCTAGAGGCTGGATATCCAAGATCATGATGTCTGCAGGTTTGGTTTCCTCTCCTCGCCTTGTAGGTGGCCTTCTCCTGGTGTTTTCACTTGGCTTTCCCTTTTGTTTGAGTCCTAATCTCCTCTTCTTAAATGGACATTGGATTAGGACCCACCCATCTGACGTCATGTTAATTTAATGACCTCTTTAAAGGCCCTATCTCAAAATACAGTCACTTCCTGAGATAGCATGGGTTAGGAATTCATCATGTGAATTTCAGCAGGGGACACAACTTTGCTCAGAACATAAAGATTGGGCTGTTCATTTCTCTCATCTGTATCCTCTGTACATGCTGAGCTTGCTTAAAATAAAGAGTATTTTCCTTAAGTGCAGAACCAAGTAATGCCCATTATAAGGGTAAAACTATAATCACAGTATGTGCTGTCATGAAACAGTAAAACCCATAAAACTTTTTTTTTAAGACCTGACTACGGATGGGAATTTTAAATTATTATTTTCCGTCTGCTCTGAATGCAGCCCCTCAGTCCTTCAGTGCATTTTGCATATAGATGCCATGAGAGATTCTTTAAAAATGCAAATCTGATCATCTCAGAGGCCCGTGGACTTCCTTTCCGTATGGCCTGAGTAACTGGATTTCCAGACCTCAGACATCATTATCCCCGGCATCATTATCTCTGACATGCTCATCTCGCTAGCCTGCCTTCCTGCCTCCTGCCCTAGACATAAGCTGCCCTTCTCCACTGTTTATATGACTCTCCTTCTGGTTTCTGCCTACTCTTCCCTCAGATGTAGAATAAAATGTCTTTTCTTCAAAGAAACCTTCACTGACTTCCAACTCTAGCCTACAGACAAAGTTAGATTCTCTCGTTATATAGCTCTTGTCAAAGTTGTGTGTTTTTCTTAAATAAAATTTATCACAATGGTAATGAATTCACTGTTTAATTTCTGTCTTCACCCACTGGATTGTACATTTGCTTAAGTCAAATTTTCTTTTTTATTGTTGGATGGATGGGTGAACTGTGGATTGAATAATTACCTTTCTATGAAGTTTCTGAATGACTTAACTCCAAGCAATGGTTTTTAAAACTTTGAGCTTTGAATATGAATTATCTTTCACATTCCAATATTGAAATTTAGGTCTCTGTACTCTAAGGCATGCATTTTCCAGTTTTTGAAAGTGGGATGTGGATTGTAAAGGAAATCTTAGGTTCAGATCAAACCAATGATTTCTTATGCCTAACGAAGAATCAAAAGAAAATCTGGATTTGCCTCTCCTGTAAGAAGCCAGGAAACTGACACAAAATAAGTATTTCATTCCCCTTAGCTCAGACCTGAAATTCCAAGGAGCAGAGTCTAACATGATTTACCAATTTGATGGAGTGAGAAAATAATTTTGGCTATTGTGTATGTAAAAAGATCTGCCCCAAATCCTACTTCCTCATACTTTAGGAGTTACTCTGCATTTTCTCAAACAATTGTGGCTGCTGCTTTAACTAACTCAATCATTTGCAAATTAATCTTGCACAAGCTTCCTGCTTTTACCAATACCATCTTTTTCCCACTCAGCTTTTCTTATCAGGAGCTCACCTTCCAAACCACAAAACAGAGATGTTTTGACTCACTATTTTTTCTGAATTCTTCCAAGGATAGTACATAGCTAGTGAGATAAGTTAATGGATTACATGTATGCAATGGAGGCCTTGGGACAGTGGTTCTCAAAGTATAGTTTCTCAGACAGCAGCACCGCCTGGGAAAGTGTAGAAATGCAAATGTTTGAGCCCCACATCAGACCTACTGAATCAGTAATGAGTGGGGGGTAGGTGGGGTGCAGCAGTGTGTTTTAAAAAGCAGTTCAGGTGTCTCTGACGCTGTCTAAAATTTGAGAACCTAAGGGCATTAGGTTCTCAGAATCATCTGGAGGGTCTGTAAAAACTCAGATTGCTGGGTCTCATTCATATGAATTCTTCCAGATGGCGTTGATTCTTTTTGATGCCCCTTTCACATTGTCCTACTTTCTCAGCGTGGACTCACCATGAAGCTCTCTCTCTTCCTGCTCCTCAAGGGTAGAGACCGGGCCTTATATTTCTTTATAGCTTTTCTAGGACCTAGAATGGAATCTGATACATAACTGATCCCCACTAAATTTTCGATAATGAACCAATGAAATCACTTTAAGTTTTTTGTTTGTTTTTTACTATAACAATATGCAGGGAGATAGCATGTCTCAAAAAAACCCA